ATGCGCGCTTTTTTTGTATATATTTTGTTTCCGTGCTTGAGCTGTTCACAACCTCATGCTGGGAAGGGAGCTATGCGCGCTTTTTCTGCATTTTTTTACGTTTTCATGCTTAAGCTGTTCACAACCTGATGCTGGGAAGGGAGCTATGCGCGCTTTTTCTGCATTTTTTTACGTTTTCATGCTTGAGCTGTTCACAACCTCATGCTGGGAAGGGAGCTATGCGCGCTTTTTCTGCATTTTTTTACGTTTTCATGCTTGAGCTGTTCACAACCTCATGCTGGGAAGGGAGCTATGCGTGTTTTTTCTGCTGTTTGTTTTACGTTTTTGTGCTTGAGCTGTTCACAACCTCATGCCGGGAAGGGAGCTATGCGCGCTTTTTTTTTTTTTTTTTTTTTACGTTTTCGTGCTTGAGTTGTTCACAACCTCATGCCGGGAAGGGAGCTATGCGCGTTTTTTCTTCATTTTTTCCACGTTTTCGTGCTTATGCTTGAGCTGTTCACAACCTCATGCTGGGAAGGGAGCTATGCGCGCTTTTTTGCATTTTTTTACGTTTTCGTGATTGAGCTGTTCACAACCTCATGCCGGGAAGGGAGCTATGCGCGCTTTTTCTGCATTTTTTTACGTTTTCATGCTTGAGCTGTTCACAACCTCATGCCGGGAAGGGAGCTATGCGCGCTTTTTTTTGCATTTTTCAGGTTTTCATGCTTGAGCTGTTCACAACCTCATGCTGGGAAGGGAGCTATGCGCGCTTTTTCTGAATTTTTTTACGTTTTCATGCTTGAGCTGTTCACAACCTCATGCTGGGAAGGGAGATATGCGAGCAATTTCTGCATTTTTTTAGGTTTTAGTGCTTGAGCTGCTCACAACCTCATGCTGGGAAGGGAGCTATGCGCGCTTTTTCTGCATTTTTTTTACGTTTTCATGCTTGAGCTGTTCACAACTTCATGCTGGGAAGGGAGCTATGCGCGCTTTTTCTGCATTTTCTTGCGTTTTCGTGCTTGAGCTGTTCACAACCTCATGCTGGGAAGGGAGCTATGCGCGCTTTTTCTGCATTTTTTTACGTTTTCGTGCTTGAGCTGTTCACAACCTCATGCTGGGAAGGGAGCTATGCGCGCTTTCTCTGCATTTTTTACGTTTTCGTGCTTGAGCTGTTCACAACCTCATGCTGGGAAGGGAGCTATGCGCGCATTTTCTGCATTTTTTTTGTGCGTTTTCGTGCTTGATCTGTTCAGAACCTCACAACCTCATGCTGGGAAGGGAGCTATGCGCGCTTTTTCTGTTTTTTATTGCGTTTTCGTGCTTGAGCTGTTCACAATCCATGCTGGGAAGGAAGCTATGTGCGCTTTTTGTGCATTTTTTTACGTTTTCGTGCTTGAGCTGTTGACAACCTCATGCTGGGAAGGGAGCTATGCGCGCTTTTTCTGCATTTCTTTACGTTTTCATGCTTGAGCTGTTCACAACTTCATGCCGGGAAGGGAGCTATGCGCGCTTTTGCTTCATTTTTTCCACGTTTTCGTGCTTATACTTGTGCTGTTCACAACCTCATGCTGGGAAGGGAGCTATGCGCGCTTTTTCTGCATTTTTTTACGTTTTCATGCTTGAGCTGTTCACAACTTCATGCTGGGAAGGGAGCTATGCGCGCTTTTTCTGCCTTTTTTTGAGGTTTCGTGCTTGAGCTGTTCACAACCTCATGCCGGGAAGGGAGCTATGCGCGCTTTTTCTGCCTTTTTTTGAGGTTTCGTGCTTGAGCTGTTCACAACCTCATGCTGGGAAGGGAGCTATGCGCGCTTTTTCTGCATTTTTTTACGTTTTCATGCTTGAGCTGTTCACAACCTCATGCGCGCTTTTTCTGCTTTTTGTTACGTTTTCGTGCTTGAGCTGTTCACATTCTCATGCTGGGAAGGGAGCTATGCGCGCTTTTTCTGCATTTTTTTACGTTTTCATGATTGAGCTGTTCACAACCTCATGCCGGGAAGGGAGCTATGCGCCCTTTTTCTGTCTTGTTTTTTTTTTTTTTTTACGTTTTCGTGCTTGAGCTGTTCACATTCTCATGCTGGGAAGGGAGCTATGCGCGCTTTTTCTGCATTTTTTACGGTTTAATGCTTGAGCTGTTCACAACCTCATGCCGGGAAGGGAGCTATGCGCGCTTTTTTTTTTTTTTTAACGTTTTCGTGCTTGAGTTGTTCACAACCTCATGCTGGGAAGGGAGCTACGCGCGCTTTTTCTGCATTTTTTTACGTTTTCATGCTTAAGCTGTTCACAACCTGATGCCGGGAAGGGAGCTATGCGCGCTCTTTATGTTTTTTTTACGTTTTCGTGCTTGAGCTGTTCACAACCTCATGCTGGGAAGGGAGCTATGCGCGCTTTTTCTGCATTTTTTTACGTTTTCATGCATGAGCTGTTCACAACCTCATGCTGGGAAGGGAGCTATGCGCGCTTTTTCTGCTGTTTTTTTTTTTTTTTTACGTTTTCGTGCTTGAGCTGTTCACATTCTCATGCTGGGAAGGAAGCTATGCGCGCTTTTTCTGAATTTTTTTACGTTTTCATGCTTGAGCTGTTCACAACCTCATGCTGGGAAGGGAGGTATGCGCGCTTTTTCTGCATTTTTTTACGTTTTCATGCTTGAGCTGTTCACAACCTCATGCTGGGAAGGGAGCTATGCGTGCTTTTTCTGCTGTTTTTTTTACGTTTTCGTGCTTGAGCCGTTCACAACCCCATGCTGGGAAGGGAGCTATGCGCGCTTTTTCTGCATTTTTTTACGTTTTCATGCTTGAGCTGTTCACAACCTCATGCTGGCAAGGGAGCTATGCGCGCTTTTTCTGCATTTTTTTACGTTTTCATGCTTGAGCTGTTCACAACCTCATGCTGGGAAGGGAGCTATGCGCGCTTTTTTAATTTTTTTTTTTCGTGCTTGAGCTGTTCGCAACCTCATGCTGGGAAGGGAGCTATGCGCGCTTTTTCTGCATTTTTTTACGTTTTCATGCGCACTTTTTCTGCATTTTTTTACGTTTTCATGCTTGAGCTGTTCACAACCTCATGCCGGGAAGGGAGCTATGCGCGCTTTTTCTGCTGTTGTTTTTACGTTTTCGTGCTTGAGCTGTTCACAACCTCATGCTGAGAAGGGAGCTATGCGCGCTTTTTCTGCATTTCTTTGCGTTTTCATGCTTGAGCTGTTCACAACCTCATGCCGGGAAGGGAGCTATGCGCGCTTTTTCTGCATTTTTCTACATTTTCGCGCTTGAGTGTATCACAACCTCATGCTGGGAAGGGAGCTATGCGCGCTTTTTCTGCTTATTGTTACGTTTTCATGCTTGAGCTGTTCACAACCTCATGCTGGAAAGGGAGCTATATGCGATTTTTCTGCATTTTGTTGCTTTTAAATGCTTGAGCTGTTCACAACCTCATGCTGGGAAGGGAGCTATGCGCGCTTTTTCTGTTTGTTTTTTACGTTTTCGTGCTTGAGCTGTTCACAACCTCATGCTGGGAAGGGAGCCATGCGCGCTTTTTCTGCATTTTTTTACGTTTTCATGCTTGAGCTGTTCACAACCTCATGCTGGGAAGGGAGCTATGCGCGCTTTTTCTGACTTTTTTTGAGGTTTCGTGCTTGAGCTGTTCACAACCTCATGCCGGGAAGGGAGCTATGCGCGCTTTTTCTGTCTTTTTTTGAGGTTTCGTGCTTGAGCTGTTCACAACCTCATGCCGGGAAGGGAGCTATGCGCGCTTTTTCTGCCTTTTTTTGAGGTTTCGTGCTTGAGCTGTTCACAACCTCATGCCGGGAAGGGAGCTATGCGCGCTTTCTCTGCCTTTTTTTGAGGTTTCGTGCTTGAGCTGTTCACAACCTCATGCCGGGAAGGGAGCTATGCGCGCTTTTTCTGACTTTTTTTGAGGTTTCGTGCTTGAGCTGTTCACAACCTCATGCTGGGAAGGGAGCTATGCGCGCTTTTTCTGTCTTGTTTTTTTTTTTTTTTTTTTTTTTTTTTACGTTTTCGTGCTTGAGCTGTTCACATTCTCATGCTGGGAAGGAGCTATGCGCGCTTTTTCTGCATTTTTTTACGTTTTCATGCTTGAGCTGTTCACAACCTCATGCTGGGAAGGGAGCTATGCGCGCTTTTTCTGCATTTTTTTACGTTTTCATGCTTGAGCTGTTCACAACCTCATGCTGGGAAGGGAGCTATGCGCGCTTTTTCTGCTTGTTTTTTTTACGTTTTCGTGCTTGAGTTGTTCACAACCTCATGCTGGGAAGGGAGCTATGCGCGCTTTTTCTGCTTGACTTTTCATGCTGAGCTTTCAAACTCATGCCTATGCGCGCTGCATTTTTTTAGGATTTTGTTCTTGAGCTGTTCACTACCTCATGCTGGGAAGGGAGCTATGCGCACTTTTTCTGCATTTTTTTGCGTTTTCATGTTTGAGCTGTTCACAACCTCATGCCGGGAAGGGAGCTATGCGCGCTTTTTCTGCATTTTTTTACGTTTTCGTGCTTGAGCTGTTCACAACCTCATGCTGGGAAGGGAGCTATGCGCGCTTTTTCTGCATTTTTTACGTTTTCATGCTTGAGCTGTTCACAACCTCATGCCGGGAAGGGAGCTATGCGCGCTTTTTTTGTTTTTTTTTTTTTTTTTTTTTACGTTTTCGTGCTTGAGTTGTTCACAACCTCATGCTGGGAAGGGAGCTATGCGCGCTTTTTCTGCATTTTTTTACTTTTTCATGCTTGAGCTGTTCACAACCTCATGCCGGGAAGGGAGCTATGCGCGCTTTTTCTGCATTTTTTTAGGATTTCGTGCTTGAGCTGTTCACTACCTCATGCTGGGAAGGGAGCTATGCGCACTTTTTCTGCATTTTTTTGCGTTTTCATGTTTGAGCTGTTGTGCAGAACACGTGTGTTCGTAGTGACAAGCGTAGCGAGAACTTTCCGAAGAGAAGCCTTCGCTGTTCGCAGCACGGAGGCCCGAGGAAAGGTCGAGCGAGCTAGCCGTTTTTTGCTTTTTCGAAAGCAGGTCGCCATGGCTGGCTCTTGGGGAGACTCGACTACCGGGTCGCCAGTGGACCTTTGGGCAGCCCTTTTCACGGTCGTTCATTCGACTGATGAAGAGCGGCGTCCCTTGATGCAGAGGTTTGACCTCGACGACTTGGTTCGCCTACGACGAGTGGTCCAGCTCGCCATCGACGAGCAAGTGGAGCAGAGTCTGGATGAGGCCGACGCTGCGGTCGCTAAGGTGGCAGTTGGGTCGCCCGTGGTAGTTCCGGCTGACTCGGGCACACACAGTTCGACCGCGGCCAGTTCGTCAACCGGTGCGGCCGCATCTACACAGGTGCCGGTGGCCACACCTACAGACGCAGGTTCGCGGGTGAGCTCGACTGGCCAGATACCAGGGGTCGCACAGTCGGTCGCCAGCAAGAAGGCCGGTGCGCCGCCTGCGAAAGACCCCACTACAGGACCGCCACCACAGCTCGTGGTCCCCAAGGGCATGTCCGCGGAAGCCAAGGCCTTTAAGAAAGCAGACCCGCCACCACTGGTCGTGAAGGCGAAGGCTGACCCGCCGCCCTTGAGCAAGAAGGGCAAAGGTCGCGGTGGTCCAGCTCAGCCAGCTCCTCCACCTGCCAAGGCGACGCAGGTCATGGTGAAGGCCACTCCGGCCCAGGTCGCGGCGATGTTCGCTGGTACGGTGGCTCCACAGACCGGGGAGGATGCCATCGGCATGTTGCGGGCGGCACAGGCCGCGGTGATCCCGTCGGTACCTCTGGTCGACGCCTCCCAGGTCGCCGTCATCGACCTTAACACCATGGACGATGACTTGCAGGATGATCCTCCGTTGCCCCGCCCTCTACCAGCCCGACACGGTCGCCGCCGAGCAAGCCTATGCCACAGCAACCGCCACGCCTCAAATCTCACCCGAACCGGCCAAGGCGACGACACCGGCTCCGACCTCCACACCGGCGAGTTCGACCAGTTCGCCGACTGGACCCGCGCCAGGACCGTGCACCCGCGCCTCAGCCCAGGTTCGCAGGGGAGAAGGTCGCAGCGAGGTCGCGCAGCGGTCGACCGGCCCAGCCTCGCAGACGCGCTGGCGCGGGGGCCACCAGGTCCGCTCTATGCGCCCCAGTACGCCCCGTCGGGCTTGCCTGCACCGTGGCCGCAGCGTGATGTGGAGTCGGGCGTCACATTTCGTGACGAACCCCCTCCTTTTACAGATGTCTCTAGCGTTTGGCGTTTGTAATGTTCGCTGCCCGTCGTGCTGGATGAGAGCATGTCCGCGAGTGAATCGCCCGGGCTACAGGCGGGTGCACGAGCACCACTTTTGTGGCTTCTGCCACACCGAGGCCAAGCGTTCGGACCCGAACAGGACATAGTCTGTTCGCATGCTGCCGCTGCCCCAGAGTGTCGCAACGTTATACTTAAGTTCGCTTGAGAGTAGGGGCGTTTTGCAGCATGTTCGGGACGATCGCCCTCGGGCCTACGACCCTTCGGGGAAAGACAGTGGCTGTTCGCAGCACAAAAGAAGGTCTGCACGAGTCGCTGGTCTGACAGTCGTTTTGCAGTTCGCTTGCCTTTGGAAGGTCGTGCAAGGTAAAGGCAGGCAGACATGTCGGGAAGGTCGCTGAAGGTACCAGGCATGCAGTTATGTTCGGCAGGTCGTGCAAGGTACCAGGTGACAGTCATGTCTGAAGGTCGTGCAAGGTTACAGGCAGGCAGTCATGTTCGACAGTTCGCGCTAGGCTTGCGGTAGGCACACATGTCTGGAAGGTCGTGCGAGGCAAGAGGCAGGCAGTCATGTCGGGAAGGTCTTTCCAGGTTCCAGGCAGAGTGTTCGGTCGGGCAGGTCGACACAGGTCGCAGGCAGCTACACGCACACGGCATGTCGCAGAAGGGGTCGGGTCCTCACAGTTGGCATAACAAGTGCGGAGAGAACAACACCACCGTCGTCACACGGTTCGAGCCAGGCACAGCTTCCCCTAGCACCATGCATCACATACAGTGCCCACATGATCGTTCCTCGTTCGCGAGTTTGGTGCATATTCTGGCGAGTCTCGATTTGCACTGTGCTCTCGAGCCTCTTCGGTCCCAAGGGATTCGGTCCGCAGATCAACTGGAGAACACCCCCAAAGCCCAGCTCCGGTCGTGGATCGGTGACCCGGCCATTGACAAGCTGTTCAACAAGTCGGTCGCCAGGCCAAGGACCCGTTCGGATGCCCTGGTCGTGCACCCGTATCAGAGGGGTTCTCGCGCTGCGGCCTCGGCCGTCCAAGGCAAGAGCGCCTTGGAAAAAGCAGACGAAGCCTTTCAGGAGGACAAGTTCGCAAGGAGCTCAAGGGGCCCCCGGGAATCCCGCTGGAAGCTATGGTGCTCCCTTGCTGAGCAGAGAAACCTCCCCCCTTTGCCGATTACAGTCGATCTTATTGACAAGATCGGGGCCCTCTTCAAGCAGGCACGTTACAGGTCGGCAGCACAGTATTACAGTGTCGCGAAATCCGAGCATAGGGCACAGGGATTCGAGTGGTCGCCTTCGCTGGATCACGCAGTGGCCCAGGCCGTTCGCTCGATCACCAGAGGCATGGGCCCTTCTGCAGCCAAGTTGGACTTCCCTCTGGAGTCCTGTTCGAGGAGCCTCGAGCTGGATATCGAACGGGCATACGCATCCCTTCAGGTGCCGGCCAGTTCGCGGATTGAAGCTCCTGCCGACACGGGCATCGTGGCAGCATGGTTCCTCCTCCGGGGCTTGGAGATATCTTCCGTCGTGTGCGAAGATGTTAGCTTTTCGAGAGAAGGGCTGGTTAAGCTTTCGCTGCCGGTTTCGAAGAATGATGCATCGGCCCGTGGGTGCTCGAGGACTCATGCGTGCATATGTTCGCGCCAACATGACCCAGGATGCAACAGGTCGGGCGACGAGGGCATGCTGTTTACGCCTCTGCAGCAGTGCTCCTGTTCGCTGGGACGTCACCCTTTGTGCCCCTACCACGCGGCACTGCGCTGCGCAATCAGGCTTCGCAAATCAGGCCGTTGGGAACCGAAGGCGCCGTTCTTTGGCGATGGGGAGGGCCCCCCAACTAAGGCACAAGTGGTTTGGCTGGCTAGAGTGTTCGCCTGGGTCCTTTGCGAAGGCGACCTCAGAGACTGGCCGAGACAGGTCGTTCAGCGTTGGGCCCAGCATGCATTTCGGGTCGCGGGTGCCCAACTTTTCGCTCGAGCCGACCTCGACCTTCACGTTATTATGCTCATCGGTCGCTGGGGCAGCGCAGCGATCTGCCGTTACGTCCAAGAGGCAGCCTTGGCCAACCCAGCAAGAGCAGCACAGGCGGTCGCAGATCGCACCTCAGTCCTCCCTTCGAGTTCGCAGACACCCCGGCCCTCTCGACTCGCACTGCTCCCAGCTGCCCTCGACCAGGTTCGCGCTGTGGTTGCCGACTGCTTCAGAGGACAAGGGGTTCTTGTACATAACGTTCGGTCTAAGCTCGCGCACAAGCCGTGCAAGACAGAATGTTCGACGCCTTCGGGCGAGTGGAGATCCGCGTGCGGCTTGTGGAAGTATGGAAAGGCTAGTTGCCAGCGGAACCCGACGTTGCTGCCAGGTTTTCGACACTGTCCAGTCTGTTTTCCTGAAGAGAGTTCGGTTTCAGAAGTCTTGGCATCCAGGAACCATTCCCACGAAGATTCAGGCTCGTCTTCCTCCTCGTCCTGAGGTAGTCAAGGCCATGGCCGCGCCAGTGCCGTTTCAGACGATGTGCGACCAGGCGGCCGTGCATCCCACAGTGAGGCTCCTCTTCAAGGCAAAGGGAGTAGACGTTCCTGGCGTGCTGCACCACCTGTTCGCAGACAGAGACAAGGTCGCTGCTTTCCTGGACCCACTTCGCGCGGGCATCGAGATCGATGGCACGACCAGATGCAGGTCCACCGAGGAGCTCCTGATCGACCAGGCCACGATCCTCGAGTTGCTCGACGTCATCGCTGCCAGCAAGGCCGCAGCGACACCGGTCGCAGCTCCAACGCCGGCCGCGGCTAACACAGCGCCAAGTTCGGCAGAGAAGTCTCAGGAGCTGCCTGCCGGATACTGGAACGACTTCGTGACAGATTACGAATCTACAGTGGTCGACGGCAGGAACCGCAAGTTCCCTGCACACTTGCTTCTGGGGGCAGAGAAGACACTGGGCCGCATGGTCGCCGAGAAAAAGTCCGGCCTGTTCACAGCCTTGCCCCTTGGAGAGGTCCTCTTTTCGCGTCACTTCACCTCGTCACGACAGGTGAACCCGTTCTCTGCGACTACAAAACCCGAGACGTCGACCAAGCTGTTCGCTGCAGAGGACGGCACCTTGTCCAAGGTCACTCGGGGGATACCCGAGCCGCAGCGCATGGTCACCATGATCGATGCATTCGAGGCCTGCAAGTTCGCTTTTATGTTTGCTCGATGGAGGCCGAACGCTGAGGTCTGCGATAACTTCGAGTTCTGGGAAGACCTCACTCGTGACAACGCCAGCAGGTTCGCCCAAATCCGCCAGTTTTGGAAGAAGGCGTCCTGGGAGATGGCCATGGCCCTGCGCTCTGGCAAGACGTTCGCACAGGCCGCAGCAGAGGTCACCAGTCCGCAGGCCAAACAGGACGCCATGAGCAGGTGGGCCCCTCCCGACCGGCCCACCAAAGGCAACGAGAAAGGAGGAGAGAAAGGCGACAAGGGCCCTGGCAAAGGCAAAGGCAAAGGCAAGTTCGGCCGGCCTTCGCCCTACTGGTCGCAGCAAGGGCAACAGTTCCAACAGCAGACGTGGCCGCAGCACCAACAGACGGCCGGGCGACCACAGTGCAGACTGTTCGCAGCGGGCTACTGCCGGTTCGGCGCGAGCTGCAAGTTCGCACACGGTAGCCAAACTCAGCAGCAAGGGAACGTCCCTCCGCCCCCGTCCGCCTAGGGACAGCTCGGACCGCCTCAGCCGTCGGGGCGATACCCGATACTAGAATAGACGGTAATCCCACTCCTCCCCTTCTTAGGACCCTAGTCCCGAACCCGTGTGCTCCGCCTTGGCGCCCGAACCCGTAATCCCTGCCCACAGGTTAGGTTCGCAGGTGCCGAGCCGTTGCAGCAACCAGGTTCCACCACTGCCAAGACCGCCAGCGTCCGTCATGGATGACAACAAGGTACAGCACAGCAGCACGGCGTCCGAGCTTCCGTTAGCTCCGCCAACAACAAGACCGCAGTTTCCACCTCCTCCTCCCCTTCCCGGTCGCACCAAAGGTACAGGCACAGGTGAGCCCGATAAGAGGACCCGCACACCGGTCGTGCTCACTCCCAACTCTACCACACAGGCGTTGACGTCTCGCGTGACTCCGCCGTCGCAATCAGTGCATAATTCGCCGCAGCCTCAGCTGGCTCCGCTTCACCAATTGTCCCGCCAGGCGTTGCAGCCTCATGTGGCTCCGCCTGGCACTGGCCCGCGGCCTGTTTCCAATCAAGCACCACCACAGCCGCAGTTCTCAGCTTCTTCGATGGCATAGCCACCGCTCTGCATGCCGTTAAGAGCTGGGCCATACGGCCGGTGCTCTCCTGGTCTTGGGAGCTCGATCCAGAGGCCATCAAGGTCGCGTCCTCTCAGCACCCCGAGATGATCCACCATGGCGACGTGTTCGGCCGCAAACCTCAGGAGGTGCTTGCTGCCTTGTCCGCCTCAGTTCCCAAGGATGCCGTTCTCCTCGTGTTTGCAGCCCCTCCTTGTCACGACTTTTCCCGGATCCGGAGTGATCCCCCAGGTACGCAAGGTCCAGAAGGCTCCAAGTTCGTTCGGTTCGCGAGGTGGCTCAAAGAGTTCGCTCAAACCTCCAGTTTTAGAGTACTCTTCCTTGTTGAGAACGTGCAGATGGCCGCCTCACAGCAGACAGAACTGGACGAGGCTCTAGGCTGCCGAGCGTTCGCTTGCGACGCTGCAAGCTGGGGCATCGTGTCTCGCCCTAGACTCTGGTGGTCGAACGTGGTCAACCCACCGCCAGAAAACGTTCGCGAGCCGCCGGTCACCTTAGGGGGACAGGCAAGGTGGCGGCGACTGAACCGGCATTGGGAGATCATACCCAACAGCACTCTTTTCCCCCGACAGGTCGCGCAGTCATGCCCTTTCGCGACATTCAGTGAGGGTCGCATCAGGTTTCCATGTTTGAGCACATGGGGGGATAACTGCGCCTACTTTTTGCCTTGCTACTGCCACTGCTTGGGTTGGGGGGGAGGGGGGAGGGGGGGGGGGGGATAATAACGTTCTTTGTTTAACGTTCTTTGTTTAACGTCCTTGGTAACGGCCTTGCTTCAACACATACTTGGCTGCACGCTCTGCTAGTCCGTCGTCATATTCCTCTTCTCATGGATGCATGCTGCTGCCTTCTGCTGTATGCCTTGCATGGAGATGGTGCTGCTGCGTGATGTTCGACTCGGGACGGTGCTGCTGCCTCAGGGACGTGGTCCATGGCGAGTGCCCTTAACCCCAAGCCCAAAACCATCACTTGACATGTCCGCCTGCCGCTCGGGTTGCAGGCTGCCGCTCGGACTGAAAGGTGCATTTCGTGGATACTGTGGGAAACCTCCAACACTATTCCACGGTCTCCTTCGTGTCACAGAGTCATGTTAAGAGCGTCATTACACTTTGTAGCACCTGCAATAGGTTTTCGTGTCATGTCGCCTTGGCTGGCCACCGCTTTGTCTGCGGTCTTGCTGCTTCGCCTGAACGGCCAGACGCTGGCCAGGGAACTGGCTGGTTTCGGCTTCTTTCCCGTGGAGGAGTTGGAAGATGCTTTGTGGGCCGCTTCACAAGATATAGTACAGCTGTCTTGGTTCTCTTGCTCTCCGATAAGCCTCGTCTTCTGTCCCTTAGCTCTTCCTTTTCTAAGGTGTTTTGCCAACCACCCGGAGCAGCAGAGATGATCGTTTGCGCTACCGTGCTTGGCGAAAGCCGTCGAGGCGCTTTGCCATGGAGGGTCTTGGTGCAGTTGGCGCCACAGCTAGCGGCCTGGGCCGCACGTGTCGCGATGTCGCCGTCCTGCAGACCCGTGGCCTTGCGAGCTGCCTGGAGGTACGGGGCTTGGATAGAAAACCGATTCGGCCCAGCTACTGCGTGGGATCGCCCCAGCTCCACAGACGACTTTTTCCTTTGCTTTGGCTTCTCACGGACTTCAAATGCAGAACTCATTCTGGACAGCGCGGCCGGTCTGGAGACAGAAGGCATGGACAGCACGGTTGCTGCGGAGACCGAAGTGATGGACGCCAGGCTTGCCGTCCCGCCCGAAGATTCTTGGGATCCCTTCCATGCAGATCTGGACTGGAGACTCCTTGCCACGGATGAGGACGAGGGCTGGGTTGCTTCCTCCTTTGAACAGCTAGGCTTGTTATTGAATCTTCCTTTCCAATGAATGCCGTCAGGAGCATTCCTGTGGGGCCAGTGTTTCCGCAGAAGAGGAGGATGCAACACCATCAAGTGCTTCCGACTTGCACGCCGATGCCGCTGGTGCTGAGGCCGCTTCTCTTCGTGCGGCCTCGGCATTTTCCGAAGCTTCCAGTCGGTCTTCCTCCCTGCTCAACTCTCTCGCAGCCGACGACAGCTGGGAAGCAATTTCCGGAAGAGAGACTCCACCGCATCGTCGACGTCCCGTGGACTGGCAGAGCCCTATAGGCCGTGAACTGGAGCACTTCGAGTACCATGCCGAAACTGTGCCTTCTACACGTTGGCATAACTTCTTGTTTTGACACTCCGCAGTAGATGTTACCCCACGTCGCTTCCTACTTTAAGGTGTAGGTGTATGTTAAGGCCGCCCTCTCTTTTTCTCCACTGTGCTCCCAAGGGCATGCCCGAGAAGCCGGATCTTTATGATTCTCCGTGGTCTCGCCGTTACAAGACGTGGTATTGGACTAGAGCTTGGGCGCCGGACACGCCTGCCGCGGACAGCTCCGATGCCGAAAACCCTCCATTGCGAGACGTCTTTCACGCCGAAGCTGCTATGAGTGCTTCCTCTTGGAGTCCACATCATCTTCATGCTGGCGCCGCTGCTCGCTCTGCGCATGTCGAGAGTATGCAGGCGGGACCACTGTCTGACTCCAAACAAATGAAAACACGACGCAAATCCTATTGTGATTCTCCTAAACCCTAAACCCTAGACCTTGAACTCTAAAACAAAAAAAAGATATATGCAAAGTAGGGGCCTTATAACTTAGAATAGGGTTTCCTTTCTTGACGAGCTGAAGGAAAAGGAACCTTACATCAGGCACATACTTAAAAGCTTCCTGCAATCGAACCACTTGAGGTAGACTCCTCGCAACATCCTTCTGCTGGCATCGCTGCTCGCGCTGCGCAAGTCGGGAGTATGCAGGCAGGAACATTGTACTGTCACGTTCAACACAAATGCAAAAGGACGCAAGTTCAATGTCCGAATCCCCTAAATCCTGAACCTTACATCTTCCGCTTTAATAAAGCCGTACATATATATATATATATATATATATACACACATACATATGCATCTACATCTACGTCTTTCTTCTATATATGTCTGTGTCCATATATATATATATATATATACATATATTTACATATATATATATATATATTTACATACATATATATATATATATATTTATATTTATATTTATATTTATATTTATATTCATACATACATACATACATACATGCATACATACATACATACATGGACAAAATCCTGCACGACCCTAAGGGTTAAAAAATACGTGAAAATGCTATTGTCGTTATAATGAGTCATGCAGGATTGGGTCCAACAACTGTATGTATGTGTATATATAGATATAGATTCATATAGATATAGATATAGATATAGACCTATAAATATGTACATCTATTTGTCTATCCCTTATCATAATATGTGGAGATTGCAGAAAGGACTTGGAAGATCCCATCGAGGATCATGTTGAGGGGCCTGCTCTGGAACAAGTTCCGGCTCCTCGACCTGGTCAGGTGCCTCGTCCATGCGAAGCAGACTTTACACCTGTTAAGTCGCAACCGCAGTGGCTGCTTTGTATTGCCCACTCTGTCAGTTTTGCAGGCTCGTCGCCCTTTTAAATGGGGTGCATGTGCGCTCTGCGGCACCTCCATGGTGCCTTATGTGTTCCGCTCGGGCCCGTTCCTCTGCCGCACAAGCACAACTCCTTGTCTTTGCTCACGCAACCCTATTTTACGCGGACCCATGCCAAAGTGTTTGATCTTTCGTGATGTTGCTGATGAAAAATGTTTGATCTCTAATGATGCTGGTCATGTTGCTGCTGATATGTGTTTGATCTTTCGTGATGTTGCTGATGAAAAATGTTTGATCTCTAATGATGCTGGTCATGTTGCTGCTGATATGTGTTTGATCTTTCGTGATGTTGCTGATGAAAAATGTTTGATCTGTAATGATGCTGGTCATGTTGCTGCTGAAAAAATTTGATCTCTCGTCATGTTGCTGATGAAAAATGTTTGATCTGTAATGATGCTGGTCATGTTGCTGCTGATATGTGTTTGATCTTTCGTGATGTTGCTGATGAAAAATGTTTGATCTGTAATGATGCTGGTCATGTTGCTGCTGAAAAAATTTGATCTCTCGTGATGTTGCTGATGAAAAATGTTTGATCTGTAATGATGCTGGTCATGTTGCTGCTGAAATGTGTTTGATCTTTCGTGATGTTGCTGATGAAAAATGTTTGATCTCTAATGATGTTGGTCGGATGTTGATGATGACATGTGTTTGATCTCTGCTGATGTTGCTGATGAAAAATGTTTGATCTGTAATGATGCTGGTCATGTTGCTGCTGAAATGTGTTTGATCTCTCGTGATGTTGCTGATGAAAAATGTTTGATCTCTCATGATGCTGGTCATGTTGCTGCTGAAAAAAATTTGATCTCTCGTGATGTTGCTGATGAAAAATGTTTGATCTCTAATGATGTTGGTCGGATGTTGATGATGACATGTGTTTGATCTCTGCTGATGTTGCTGATGAAAAATGTTTGATCTGTAATGATGCTGGTCATGTTGCTGCTGAAATGTGTTTGATCTTTCGTGATGTTGCTGATGAAAAATGTTTGATCTGTAATGATGCTGGTCATGTTGCTGCTGAAATGTGTTTGATCTCTCTGATGTTGCTGATGAAAAATGTTTGATCTGTAATGATGCTGGTCATGTTGCTGCTGAAATGTGTTTCATCTCTCGTGATGTTGCTGATGAAAAATGTTTGATCTGTAATGATGCTGGTCATGTTGCTGCTGAAATGTGTTTCATCTCTCGTGATGTTGCTGATGAAAAATGTTTGATCTGTAATGATGCTGGTCATGTTGCTGGTGAAATGTCTTTGATCTTTCGTGATGTTGCTGCTGAAAATGTTTGTTCTCTAATGATGTTGGTCATGTTGATTGTTTGATCTTTGGTGATCTTGGTGATGAAAAATGTTAGTCAAGTTGGTGCATGATGATGGTGATGATGTTGATGACAACGACGAACTCTAGTTCGTCCACTACTACTGCTACTACTACTGCTACTACTACTACTACGACGACGACGACGACGGGGCCACCAGGGACTGCGTGACCTTCTCTTCGGGTGTCCTGAAAGTCTTCCACCTAAATATTATCTGCTGCTCTGCAGGTTTCAACAGCAGATCCGCCTGGTATGCCGCAACTTTTGGCGGTCCGACAACTTGAACCGGCGCAGGTGCTGGAGACACGTGCCGTTTGACATGGCGCGACTCCCGGAAGCCCCTAAGGAGATTCGCCAGCACGCAGAAGGCGTGTCTTTTTACTTGTCCGTCCGCAGAGGTAAGACCTGAGATGTCCGCACATAAAATTCATCGGAGACTGAGATGTTCTCAGATCATAGGCTGATCCAAGAAAAGCTTCCTCTCCGGGGCAGAGGACAGGTAAGTACATATGATTACCGTCGCTTGCGATTTTTGCTAGCATGACCACGCCGGCTGTGATCGTGCTCCGTAGTCAAAGATTCGGGCAAGCAACTTCTGTGACTGGCACGAAAGGATCTTGAGTGCATGCGTGTCTTTCACGTGCATGGCAGTGCATGCAGCTTCTTCGCATTCCGCATCGCCAATCTGTCGGCCTGACCTTCAAAACCCCACTTGGAGGTTCATGGGACTTAGTGCCCTCGAACCCTAATCCCTATGTGAGGCCGGGACCTTGCATACAAAGCCCCTGCACCAAGAGCACAAAGATGATCTTCTGTCGCTTGCTGATGCCGCTCTCAAAAGGTGTCGCCGTGCAGGGTTCAGGTGGGTAGAACTGCGTCTTGTAGCAATGCCGCCCAAGCACGGCACGAAGGCGCAGCCCCGCTGTCAGTTCTGTCATAAGACAGGACACCATGCCTCGACGTGTCCTGACTTGGCGCAGTCTGTCTTGAAGCAGTTACGGGCTACGTGTTCAACTGCCAACTTGTGCAAGAAGCTCTCTCAGGGCAGCTTGAAGCTACAGCAAGCCAACAAGCCGCTGCGCTGTGGCAAGCGGACAGGTCGCCGAGGGCCTGGTTTCAAAGGCGGCACTTCGCGGACGGAGGACAGAGGGACCAAAGGTCGCACCAGTGTGCTTAAGCAGAAGCTACGGGAAGCCCGGCGTCGACCCTTGGCCATGAAGGTCGCGCGGGAAACGTCCTTCACCTACCAAGACGTGACTACAGCTCACAAGTTCCTTGTCCGCGCAGGCTGGGCGTGGAACCCCAAGCGTTGCGGCTGTGGTGGCAAGCTCGTGTTCCTGGGACGAGACCAGGCCCGCAAGCGAGGTTTGGGGAGGCGCTTTCGGCGCTTCTTGACAAGCACTTGCAGTTTTCGGATTGTTTGCAAACCTGGCGGTTTTCACTGCACTCTAGCTTCCTGATCAAGTAAATCCAGGCTGCGGCTCCTGCCGCCGATCCTTTGACGTCTTGACCCACAGCTTCTTGCCTCGCCTGAAGCTGCCCTTGCCTCTCGTGCTCAAGGCGATGCGCATGCACTTCGACACCTCCCAGCCCTCGTCCTTGCAGGACATGGGCCGCCGCCTGGGCTTGAGCGGCGGCAACAAGGGGTCTCTCAAGAAGCTTGTGCAGCACCTGCGAGCAGCTGAGGCACCATTCGCCCTGAAAGACTGTGATTAAACAACCTAAACAACGTGGTCTTTTCAAAACAGGCTTCCACGCCAATCTGCTTGCAGGCTCGCTGTGGCCAGCACATGCAGTGCAAGCGCAAGCTCAGCGGATGGGTGGAGGCAGATGCCACATGTGTGCGCAAGTGGAAGGGTCCGAACAGAGGCGTCTCGTCTTGCAGACTCGTCAGCAGGAGTATTAGGCCAACTCCAACCCTACCGTCAAACGTTCGAAACATATTTCATACAAGACCCTCAAGCGTTTCGTGGACTCCTAAACCACCAGGCCCTTCCCTCATTGCCCAGGCTTAATCTGGCAGCAGCTCTTCGGCTTTGTGGAGCGTCCTGTCGGTGCTGCCGTTCCTCGCGTTCATCTCTATGAGTTGCCTCTGATCTCAACGCTGCCGAATGCGAAGCCGCCCCAGGACAACTTGCCTGCTTCCGGCTTCCCATGGACGTTGCAGGTACACGCTTGTCCTGCAGTTTATCGCTTCACGCTCTAGACATGAAGCTTTGCAGACCCCTATAAGAAAACACCCCCAAAATCGACCAGGAGTCCAAGAACAGAATCTTGCAGACCAACGCTTTCGACTGCCTGAGCCAGGCCACGCCGAGTGGCCGACCCACACTTTTGCTCACGGATGGTGCGAAAGCCTATCCTGGCCTGGCTCGTGCCTATGGCATCAAGCACAGGGCATGCAACCATGCCAAGGGCATTTTTTGTATCAAGGTCCGTCAAGGCCCGAATCCCAGTGTCCCTGTCCACACGGGCGGAGTGGACGCGGTTTGGCAGCAGCTGAAAGCGTGGCTGCCGAACCAGATTCCCGCCTTGATTCAGCACAAGCCCAACCCGGCAATCATGCTTTACGTTCGACAGTGGCAGTGGCGGAACGAACACCGCCGAAACTTGCTGGAGAGGACGGGCAACATGCTCCGATCGCAGTTTTTCTGATACGCCAGAGCTTGCGACAAGCATGTGACCAGACGCACTGCGCAGACCAGAGTCTTTCTTGTCGCGAGAAAGGGTGAATGTCTTCCACTTGAGCTTTGCGGGATTCATGCTTCCTGGGCAGTATGAATAAATACTATCGTATCATACCATGTGACAATGGCAACGACTCTTCCATAATCCTGCCCAAAAACGCATCGGATCAACTTCGTCAGATGTGCCTATCGCAGTTAACTGCATCGGATGAACTTGCTCAGATGAGAAAACCTAATCTCAGCTCAATGGAATGTACCATTTGTCGAATCCAGGTACGAATTTAGCCAACCTTTCTAGTTGCTGACAACGACTCTTCCATAATCCTGCCCAAAAACGCATCGGATCAACTTCGTCAGATGTGCCTATCGCAGTTAACTGCATCGGATGAACTTGCTCAGATGAGAAAACCTAATCTCAGCTCAATGGAATGTACCATTTGTCGAATCCAGGTACGAATTTAGCCAACCTTTCTAGTTGCTGACAACGACTCTTCCATAATCCTGCCCAAAAACGCATCGGATCAACTTCGTCAGATGTGCCTATCGCAGTTAACTGCATCGGATGAACTTGCTCAGATGAGAAAACCTAATCTCAGCTCAATGGAATGTACCATTTGTCGAATCCAGGTACGAATTTAGCCAACCTTTCTAGTTGCTGACAACGACTCTTCCATAATCCTGCCCAAGAACGCATCGGATCAACTTCGTCAGATGTGCCTATCGCAGTTAACTGCATCGGATGAACTTGCTCAGATGAGAAAACTGATCCCGGAGGAATAGAAAGCAAACGTATTTGCAATCTTACACCATGTCATGTGAGAACATATCAGACATGATGTCTCCTGTGTTGCTATTCTCTAACATGTCCTGTTATGTCCTGTTATACTCCGTCCCTGTCAAATTCTTCTCTTTTTACATCATGCCATGTCACACGACGACTGTTTTAGTACATCCTCCGTTCCGTGTTCAACCCTGTTTTGTGTGACAGATGTGGTACTTTGTGTATGTTTCCGACTGATACGTGCGCATTACAACTTACCGCATCCACGCCTCCAAAGGCCGAAAGAGCGACAAGCGTAGCCAAAACTCGAGTTTTAAGCACTTCCCAACTGTAAACGCAAAAAAAAACATGGGGTTTACTTTTACAACCCGAATGCTTGTTTCATGTCGCAGGCGCAGTAGATTCCAACTTCAGGCGTCCTTTCAACGGCGCAATACTCCCCCCATGGGGATGTTTGACGACACCGGCCCAGAGCGTACAGGGCCGCGAACCTCCAGGTAAGAAACGCCGCTCCGAGAGCCCGGGAACCATGGAACGCTGGAAAGCAGCTAACCGCTCATACCCCCCTTGTGGCAGTTTCGCACACACGCCTTGGTGCAGGTCGCAGGCAAGAAGGACCTGCCAGACCCAGCCGCACGTGAGTGGCTTCAGCTTCTTCCGAGCGGTTACACGGCGTCAGTTTCGCCACAGGCAAGAGCAAGGTTACTCGGCAACGCGTGGCATGCCGGAGTAGCCAGACTCCTCGTGCTCCTGGTGTTGTGTCAGGCGGGAGTCATGGACGCACACCCCGTTCAGGCCGAAGAATGGTACGCCAAGGTGCCAGACCCGTGCTTTCAGGTTCGCTGGCATCCAGACGGAAGCCGACCTTTGCAACGGGTCGCTTCCTGGTGGTTGCGTTCGACCCTCTCATGGGATCCGAACGAGACCCAATCCAGCGATCTCAGGTCACCGGGCGCAGGGGCCGAAGCACACGTTCACTGGGCCCAACAGCTGACATATGCAGACGTGTTTCCAGCGCCTCTCAACCCCTGCTTGGCATGGACCTTCCAGGTACAGGCAAGGTTAGGCCTTAAGGTAGTGCAGGTCCGCGAGTCAGTACTGCAAGATCTCCGGGCCCTAGTCGCAGAACTGCAAGAAGACCAAGACGAAGCCCTCCAGTCACTTCCAGCGCACGTGGCCGCGGTTTACAGACAGGGTTCGCCACAACTTCGGTTTCAGCTTCTTCCCCTAGCGTGGTTACTAGAACTTTGCCAGTTTCCGGGTCGCACTGAGCTCCTGACTGAGCTATTCTGGGGTTTTCGGTTACTAGGCCCGATGGTCGCGGATCCGGTTGGCTCAACCGGGACGACGCGAAGTACTCCCGTCCCCTGTCGAAGCAAGACTTCATTGCCGCAAACCGACAGCTGGCATGAACGTTGGGAGAGCCCTCCACCCAACCCGAGCACCACGAGGTAATGGTCGCAGAACTCGAGAAGGAGCGTCAGCTGGGTCGTGTGCAAGGTCCGCTTCCCCTCTCCCTTCTTGGGAGTGGTCAAGAGCCAGCTGCAGTCCAGGTTTCACGAGGTTTCGCTGTAGTACAAAACGACAAGGTTCGCAGAGCGGACGATTGGCTCTCAGGTCGATACCATCTCAGCTGTCGACACACCACCATACCTCGGCGGCCCTACTGTGGTCGGCGGAGTTCTGCAGTGCTCCGAGACGTTCGCCGAGCCGGTGCTTCTGGGCGCCATAGACCACGAAGGGGCCTACAGATCGCTACCAGTTCGCGAGCCCACGGAGTGTGGACTGGTTATGCCAGGAGTTTCTCCGAGCCTATGGGCTCACAACGCTTTGCCCTTCGGGTCGGTAGGTTCAGTATGGGCTTACCTGCGGGTCGCCGATGTTGTATCCTTCCTGACCATATCGTTGCTCCTAATGTTCGCTGCACACTACGTCGACGACTTCTTCGCCCTGGAACGCTTCAGGACAGCGATGTCCGGCTTCGCAGTTTTCCAGGCGTTCCACCGAGTCTTGGGCTTTCGCATGAAGGAGGAGAAGCCCAAAGAGCCCCGGTTCGCTCAGACGTTACTGGGCATAGAATGGACGCTGACTGCAGAAGCGATTTTCGCATCGCCGGGAGCCCGCAGAGTCACGAAGCTGGTCGAGACGATCACCGACTTCTTGACATCCGGTCGCATGTCAGCCTCAGAGTGTTCGCAACTTACGGGCAAGCTGTGCTTTACATGCACTTGGGTGTTCAACCATGTAGGTCGCATGCTACTTCAGCCCCTGTACCACCGTCAGCACAACGGTTCGCCTGGCTCGAGTCCGCTGACTCCCAGGCTGCAACAAGCACTTCACCAACTGAGGGACCTTTTGCCTAGGTTGCAACCTCGGCGGTTCGCGATAGCCCCTCCAGAGCGCAGACGACCAGTCGCGCACTTATATGCTGATGCATTCCTGACGGTACACGGAGTTCGCCGTGTTGCAAACAAGTGGCTGCCGGAGCTTCCAACAGCCCAGGAGCTCAGCACGGCTACGAACGGTTTCGGGGCGATAGTGTTCGTCCCAGGTCGCCGCCCTCTGGGATTCCGAGGCGAAGTACCGTCAACTGTGCTAGCCAACCTGGCTGCCTCCAGGGCATATATATTTTGGTTGGAGGCATTAGCACAGCTGGTCGAATTAGCCACCATCTGCGACCTGGTCGAGACTCACGTCTGTTGTTGGGTCGACAACACAGCAGCTGAACACGCTCTCAACAAAGGCTACTCAAAGGACCTCCGACTCTCGGCTTTAATCGGAGCTTTTTGGGTTTGGGCCGCCTCTAGGTCGCTTTCAGTTTCTTTTCATAGAGTCTCGAGCGAAGAGAACGTTTCCGACGGCATCTCAAGAGGCGACCTTAGCGATCTTCAGTTCGCCCAGGGCCAGTTCTACGAAGTCTCCTTCAAAGAAGTTTGGCCCCTTTTGGAACAGTTTCGCGACGACTACCGAAGTTACCAAGCAGAGTTCGCTCAGATGGTCGCCCTGTTGGCGACACAACTTCGCTGACGCGCACAAGGGTGGCTTCACGGTGCGCTTGAGGTGGTTAGTTCGTTGCGCCTCCTGTGAAGCCTTTTCGCTTCGGAACTTTACAGTTCGTTTCGTTTCGGAGCTTTACAGTTCGAGGTCGCAGCGAGCTTGCGACCGATTTCCGCCACCGTCCGGAAGGGAAGAGTGGACAAAAGGTGTTCGTCCGTGCGTCTGCACCCAAGCTTGTGAAGCATAGCTTGTCGTGCAGAACACGTGTGTTCGTAGTGACAAGCGTAGCGAGAACTTTCCGAAGAGAAGCCTTCGCTGTTCGCAGCACGGAGGCCCGAGGAAAGGTCGAGCGAGCTAGCCGTTTTTTGCTTTTCCCACCTCTCCCACCCGGAAGTACAGAGTCCGGTTAGTTCGTTGCGCCTCCTGTGAAGCCTTTTCGCTTCGGAACTTTACAGTTCGTTTCGTTTCGGAGCTTTACAGTTCGAGGTCGCAGCGAGCTTGCGACCGATTTCCGCCACCGTCCGGAAGGGAAGAGTGGACAAAAGGTGTTCGTCCGTGCGTCTGCACCCAAGCTTGTGAAGCATAGCTTGTCCACAACCTCATGCCGGGAAGGGAGCTATGCGCGCTTTTTATGTTTTTTTTTACGTTTTCGTGCTTGAGCTGTTCACAACCTCATGCCGGGAAGGGAGCTATTCGCGCTTTTTCTGCATTTACGTTTTCATGCTTGAGCTGTTCACAACCTCATGCCGGGAAGGGAGCTATGCGCGCTTTTTCTGCATTTTTTTACGTTTTCGTGCTTGAGCTGTTCACAACCTCATGCTGCATTTTTTTACGTTTTCGTGCTTGAGCTGTTCACAACCTCATGCCGGGAAGGGAGCTATGCGCGCTTTTTATGTTTTTTTTTTTTTTTTTTCTTTTTTCGTGCTTGAGTTGTTCACAACCTCATGCTGGGAAGGGAGCTATGCACGCTTTTTTTGCATTTTTTTACGTACCTCATGCCGGGAAGGGAGCTATGCGCGTTTTTTAGTTTCTTTTTTTTTTTCGTTTTCGTGCTTGAGCTGTTCACAACCGCATGCTGGGAAGGGAGCTATGCGCGCTTTTTCTGCATTTTTTTACGTTCTCATGCTTGAGCTGCTCACAACCTCATGCCGGGAAGGGAGCTATGCGCGCTTTTTCTGCATTTTTTACGTTTTCGTGCTTGAGCTGTTCACAACCTCATGCTGGGAAGGGAGCCATGCGCGTTTTTTCTGCATTTTTTACGTTTTCATGCTTGAGCTGTTCACAACCTCATGCCGGGAAGGGAGCTATGCGCGCTTTTTTTTTTTTTTTTTTTTTTTTTTTTTTTTTTTTACGTTTTCGTGCTTGAGCTGTTCGCAACCTCATGCTGGTAAGGGAGCTATGCTCGCTTTTTCTGCATTTTTCTACATTTTCGCGCTTGAGCGTATCACAACCTCATGCTGGGAAGGGAGCTATGCGCTCTTTTTCTTCATTTTTTTACGTTTTCATGCTTGAGCTGTTCACAACCTCATGCCGGGAAGGGAGCTATGCACGCTTTTTTCTGCCTTTTTTATTTTTTTTTACGTTTTGGTGCTTGAGCTGTTCACAACCTCATGCCGGGAAGGGAGCTATGCGCGTTTTTTTTTTTTTTTTTACGTTTTCGTGCTTGAGCTGTTCACAACCTCATGCCGGGCAGGGAGCTATGCGCGCTTTTTCTGTTTTATGTATTTTTTTTTTTTTTTTACTTCTTCGTGCTTGAGCTGTTCACATTCTCATGCTGGGAAGGGAGCTATGCGCGCTTTTTCTGCATTTCTTTGCGTTTTCATGCTTGAGCTGTTCACAACCTCATGCTGGGAAGGGAGCTATGCGCGCTTTTAGTTTTGTTTTTTTTTTTTTTTTTTTTTACGTTTTTCGTGCTTGAGCTGTTTACATTCTCATGCTGGGAAGGGAGCTATGCGCGCTTTTTCTGCATTTTTTTACGTTTTCATGCTTGAGCTGTTCACAACCTCATGCTGGGAAGGGAGCTATGCGCGCTTTTTCTGCATTTTTTTACGTTTTCATGCTTGAGCTGTTCACAACCTCATGCTGGGAAGGGAGCTATGCGTGTTTTTTCTGCTGTTTGTTTTACGTTTTTGTGCTTGAGCTGTTCACAACCTCATGCCGGGAAGGGAGCTATGCGCGCTTTTTCTGCCTTGTTTTGAGGTTTCGTGCCTGAGCTGTTCACAACCTCATGCTGGGAAGGGAGCTATGCGCGCTTTTTCTGCATTCTTTTACGTTTTCGTGCTTGAGCTGTTCACAACCTCATGCTGGGAAGGGAGCTATGCGCGCTTTTTCATTTTTTTTTTTTACGTTTTCGTGCTTGAGCTGTTCGCAACCTCATGCTGGGAAGGGAGCTATGCGCGCTTTTTCTGCATTTTTTTACGTTTTCATGCGCGCTTTTTCTGCATTTTTTTACGTTTTCATGCTTGAGCTGTTCACAACCTCATGCCGGGAAGGGAGCTATGCACGCTTTTCTGCTTATTGTTACGTTTTAATGCTTGAGCTGTTCACAACCTCATGCTGGAAAGGGAGCTATATGCGATTTTTCTGCATTTTGTTGCTTTTAAATGCTTGAGCTGTTCACAACCTCATGCTGGGAAGGGAGCTATGCGCGCTTTTTTTGTTTTTTTTTTACGTTTTCGTGCTTGAGCTGTTCACAACCTCATGCTGGGAAGGGAGCCATGCGCGCTTTTTCTGCATTTTTTACGTTTTCATGCTTGAGCTGTTCACAACCTCATGCTGGGAAGGGAGCTATGCGCGCTTTTTCTGCATTTGTATACGTTTTCATGCTTGAGCTGTTCACAACCTCAAGCTATGCGCGCTTTTTCTGTCTTTTTTTGAGGTTTCGTGCTTGAGGTGTTCACAACCTCATGCCTGGAAGGGAGCTATGCGCGTTTTTTCTGCCTTTTTTTGAGGTTTCGTGCTTGAGCTGTTCACAACCTCATGCCGGGAAGGGAGCTATGCGCGCTTTTTCTGCGTTTTTTTGAGGTTTCGTGCTTGAGCTGTTCACAACCTCATGCCGGGAAGGGAGCTATGCGCGCTTTTTCTGCCTTTTTTTGAGGTTTCGTGCTTGAGCTGTTCACAACCTCATGCTGGGAAGGGAGCTATGCGCGCTTTTTCTGCATTTTTTTTACGTTTTCATGCTTGAGCTGTTCACAACCTCAAGCTATGCGCGCTTTTTCTGTCTTTTTTTGAGGTTTCGTGCTTGAGGTGTTCACAACCTCATGCCTGGAAGGGAGCTATGCGCGTTTTTTCTGCCTTTTTTTGAGGTTTCGTGCTTGAGCTGTTCACAACCTCATGCCGGGAAGGGAGCTATGCGCGCTTTTTCTGCGTTTTTTTGAGGTTTCGTGCTTGAGCTGTTCACAACCTCATGCCGGGAAGGGAGCTATGCGCGCTTTTTCTGCCTTTTTTTGAGGTTTCGTGCCTGAGCTGTTCACAACGTCATGCTGGGAAGGGAGCTATGCGCGCTTTGTCTGCCTTTTTTTGAGGTTTCGTGCTTGAGGTGTTCACAACCTCATGCCGGGAAGGGAGCTATGCGCGCTTTTTCTGCCTTTTTTTGAGGTTTCATGCTTGAGCTGTTCACAACCTCATGCCGGGAAGGGAGCTATGCGCGCTTTTCCTGCCTTTTTTTGAGGTTTCGTGCTTGAGCTGTTCACAACCTCATGCCGGGAAGGGAGCTATGCGCGCTTTTTCTGCCTTGTTTTGAGGTTTCGTGCCTGAGCTGTTCACAACCTCATGCTGGGAAGGGAGCTATGCGCGCTTTTTCTGCATTTTTTTACGTTTTCATGCTTGAGCTGTTCACAACCTCATGCCGGGAAGGGAGCTATGTGCGCTTTTTCTGCCTTTTTTTGAGGTTTCGTGCTTGAGCTGTTCACAGCCTCATGCCGGGAAGGGAGCTATGCGCGCTTTTTCTGCCTTTTTTTGAGGTTTCGTGCTTGAGCTGTTCATGACGGGAAGGGAGCTATGCGCGCTTTTTCTGCGTTTTTTTGAGGTTTCGTGCTTGAGCTGTTCACAACCTCATGCCGGGAAGGGAGCTATGCGCGCTTTTTCTGCCTTTTTTTGAGGTTTCGTGCTTGAGCTGTTCACAACCTCATGCCGCGAAGGGAGCTATGCGCGCTTTTTCTGCCTTTTTTTGAGGTTTCGTGCTTGAGCTGTTCACAACCTCATACCGGGAAGGGAGCTATGCGCGCTTTTTCTGCCTTTTTTTGAGGTTTCGTGCTTGAGCTGTTCACAACCTCATGCCGGGAAGGGAGCTATGCGCGCTTTTTCTGCCTTTTTTGTTATCTGGGCAGCGCCTCGGTCCTGGAGGCCCTTCACAGGGCTTGGGGTGGCATGGCAAACCGTCGGAGGTGGCGCTCTTCTATAGTCTCCTTCGGAATTAATTTGTATTTTTGTTCATATTATATAAACCCCAAGAGACTATTAAACACATTATTATTAGTATGTTTCTAAGGCTGGTATAGTCTGGATTTCAGCCTCGATGCCAAAGATTTAGTTGCTTCTGCCCAGAGTGCATCTGAATCTGAAATTCAGAACTGTAGTCCTTTGTTCTCTGAGGGTTTAGGGTTTTGGAACCAGCTTGAGGGTTCTAGGATTTGAGGCTCTGGGTTTTTGGGGTTTGGGCGCTACACCCATGCTGGGAAGCAACCTATGCACACTTTGCTGCGTTGATTGTTCGACTGTGGCTTTTGTGCACTCATTGTTGCACACCCACGTAACAGGCTGCTCCACCTCACTACTTGTTTAGTCCATCACTTTGCAACGTCCTCCCAAGTTGACCTAGCCTGTCAACGATTGGAGTATCCAAGGCTTGGCATTTGGTCTTGTTGCGGGCAGGGATGGTTGGCGAATGTCGCTCAATATATCGATCACCTCTGCTGTGCATTTTTAAAGCTTCTCGTGTCTTCTGCAGGTCCCGTGCCATTGGGGACCTGCGCCCAAAGAGGAAGCCTCCCTCGGCCCAGGCGCGGCCTTGGAACGCACTTGCTCCCTTC